TCGCCTGTCAAATTTGCCAAATCACGATGACGTATCGCTAAACCACGCTTGACATTACCGTTTTTTGTTATCAACCCGAAAGGGTTGCATACTAATTTTTTGAGAAAGAAATAAGGGTCCATTTTCCTATGGCTGCCATGCGAAGCGAGAGATAAGAATGCGTTCGCACTGATTGATGCAAGAATTTGATGGGACTTTTAGGTAATGGCATGAGGTTTTATTTTGGTTGGAAAGTTATTAGGCCAGGGATAAATCTGAAAATCGTTATTATATTTTTTATAATTATTTAAATTGATTATTGCTCACCTAAAACTTATTAAAATCAAATGAAAAAATGAGCTCTTTTCCGTGTTCATATCATTTGTAATTCAAACAATCCAAACAACCTCTCCAAAACGAAATCTCTTCCTTTTCGTAAATGTTTACAAACGAAATGAGGAATTGCCTTTGGGGGGACGGATGGTTAATGGGGCGATATTTAACGATTGCCCGCTTAGTGTTTATTTGTGCATCTAAACATTTTTAATGGCAAATCGCAAGATCCATTCGAGAACAGTTCCAGTTCCTTCCTCCCATGAAGTCCAAATCAAAATCCCACCCAGCGTGGGTGATTTTTGATTTTAATGATACACGGGCCAAGTATTTTTTGAGTTATTGCACATATAGTGCGCACAGTGCGTAATAAAAATCCTCGTCCCGTTCGCTCGATGTGTGCCATAGTGTAGTTTTTATTGTTTCTCTGACGATTTAATTAAATTTCCAAAGCGTGCCGACAGTCGATGTTGATGCTGATGCTGTTAGTTGGCCATTTAGTTGCAGCGTTTTATTTGTTTGCTTTAGGCGCGTCGTCATCCCCGTCGCCCTCTTAATTCCTTTCGATTCGTATAGCCCATTCCAGTTTTTGTCTCGTCTCTAATATAATTTCACACGTTTCCCCTGGAAAACGCAGGGCGTTTTGATTTTAGTGCCGCAATCAAAAGTTTTGCAAATGTTTATGCACATTCCTCGGTCACCACAAGTCTTTGGCAATTTGTTTGTTTTTCCGGTAGATGTTGCCATTTTTTTAGGTTTACAATAGAGTCGCATTCTGATTTTCAGTATTTTTATGGAGTTTCCTAATGATTTTTGGTAACAGATAAAATGTAATTAATATTAAAATATAAAAGAATAATTAAAAAGGCAAATTTAATATATCTGAAATAATACAAATATTTATTATATCATAACAACACGTTTATAAAAAGGAGCAAATATTCACCTTTTATCATATATAATTTTGCCCACTCATGGTATTAACATATCACCTTCTGTTTCGATCACTCTTCATCCACCTCCCATCGAAAGCCATATAATTCATAGAGCCACACACGTTTCTTCATTAAAATCCACGTGTTTATTTGTTTAAACTAACCTTTTATGGGGCAGTGGCGCTACATCTAGCCGCAGACACACACACACATCACTGAATATATGTCGAGGCGTCGGGGTTATCTATATCTAACACATCGGTCCATATAGAGTCGCCTCTGCTGCTGACAGCTAATTGAATTTAATTGGTGCGAACAGAAATTTACACAAAATATAAACAAAACTTTCTTGTTCTTGTTGCTGTCCTTTTTTGTGTAGCATAATTTTATGAGTTGTTTATTTCGTTAAACAAGAATAACCTTAGCTTGTTATGGCACATTTTTATTGTCGCTTGTTTATGAATAAAAACAAAGCATAGGCAGAACAGAAACGAACAGAATGGCGAACAAAAAGCCGAAGCCTTTTATTTTTGGTATTCAAAATAATTGTGGTCAGACGAATTCACGATCTGGGCGTTAAAAATCTATAAACGAATGTCGGCTCTGCACGATGCTGACTGAGAATTTCCTTATGTACTCTATAAAGAATGAAGGGGTATATTTGCAAGGTGAAGATGGTATTTTAGGTGGTGCCTAATATGGTTAAAACAGTGATAGTCGGAATTAAATACTAAATAATAATAATTTTCTATCTATCTCTTTACTCTTAAGCTTCAGGGAGTAATAAAAATATAATAGAGATCTGTTAAATTTTTAAAAAGACTTATGATAAGCTGCTGTAAAAATTTGATTGCAGTAAAAAGCATTATTGAAATGTAGGGCACTCAGAATTCTTTAGGCTTACACCTTGGAATTATGTTACCAAGTTCTCCCACAAGACTCACTCGATGTTGTGGCGCCACTTGGCCATCTTCCAAGCCTCGATGATCATCATCTGTAAATCATTTTGTGTGACAACCCGCTGACAATTGGACGAGAACGATCTTCAAGAGGAACTCGAAGGAGAAGGAGACAGCTTAATTCGGATGGACATGGACCGGTGGCTCAAGTTCTCAAGTTCTTGAGTTCTGGAGTTGTCTAACGAAGTCCCTTAACGACGACGACTGCCTTATACGGACTCATATACGAACATAAAGTCGCGTGGCTTATTTAAAATTAACAAAGCAATAAAAATGCAAACTCAAGGCAACCAGAGGACGATAACAATGTGGGAGAGAAAAAGGAGAACGAGACCCGGGAATGGCCTGCAGTAAAATAAGTTCATTGTGGGGATAAACCTGAGATACTTAGTCATTCTAATCCCGAATGAAAAAGCGAAGAAAAAACTGAGGCAACTTTCCAAGGAAATCTTTATCGATCCCGGCCAGCTTATCATATCGGTGGCTAACAAACCCAAATCCCTGACCAGTCCGCATGCATTCTCTTATCCCAGCCATCATCGCTTTTTCGGCCTGGCCAAAACAATGCAACGCGCAATCAGCAACACTTCATCGGCCACCAAAAAAAAAAACGGAGGAAAGTGGGGGGAGGTGAGGCCACAGCAAATAAACAAAAGGACACAGCGCGTAATGAGGGCGAAAATATCTTTATTTAAAGAGCCAGAGGCTGGCTTCCTTGGAAGACAACAGAAGTCTGTGACTCCGAGAGTCGGAGTCCCTGGTGCAAGGCAGCATATTTGTCATTCGCAGGGAGCAAGAGCTCCAGGCGGCGATATGGCCCGGGGCAATAATCATGAACAGATCTTGTAGACGCCGCCATGGACCAAATGCTCCTTAATTAGATGAGGCGACAAGCCGAAAACCCGGGAGCTCTTGCCCGCTGCTGTGTCCTCAGTCTAGGAACACGATCAACGATATATTCAAGTAGTTTACACTTGAAGAAAAAGAATATGGGAGACTCGGAAAACTATTTAAATTAAAAAGAGAGATGTGTTTAATAATAGTTTTGCCTTCAATTACTTTGAGGAGTTAATTCAATAAATTGTAATTTGTATAATTGTAATTGTAATATATCGTATTTGCATTTCAAATTAGAACCACTAATATATTTTTTCGAGTGCAGTACGACGTTGATTCTGTTTTGGGGTATATATTATGGAACGGTGGCCAAAACAATGCCGTGTTTACAACTTGTACGCTATGCAAGTGGCATGCTCATGCCCACTCCCTCCGCTGCCCCAATCCCATATCCCATATAGCCATCCATGCCCTTTAGGCCCTTAACTCGGCGGAGTCTGGGAAGCTGAAGCTGAGTCTCGACTTCTGCCACTAATGGCATATTTTGCATTCCAATAAGGCATTGCGCCAATTGCAAATAATTTCCGAGTGTATAGTCAGCTTAATAAGATCACGATTCCCAGATAAGCTGCCTAGATAGCAACTAGGACTTGCAGCAGACTTCAAGGGTTTAAATTTGGTTAACAGTGGTTATGGTTAGAGTGGGAGATTCAGACACACAGCATATTCATAAGAGCGAAATTCTCCAGTTGCCCAGAGATTATTAGATAAATATAGAAGGAATTTTAAGGTAATTAAGTTTGGGGTTGGTTTTATAATCACACATATCAATAAAAAGTTTTTTTTTTTGCTTTCTAAACTAAGAATATTAAGAATAGTTTTAGGTAGTCATAATTTTATTTGTTATATTTTTTTTAATATATATAAAAATTACTAATGCAATTTTTTTATTATTACATTTCAATGGTTATTTTAAAAATATTAATTTTATAATTTTAAAATAATAATAAAATAAAATTAAATTTAAAATAAGCAGTTATACGTTTTAATTCTTTGCATTCAAATATTTATTTTCCAATAGAAGAGTATGGCCAAGCCATTGAAGGCCTGAGGTTTGCCCAAGAAACAATAACTTAATTTAGTTGTCTTACATCGTGTCGTTGTCGTCGCCAGTCGAGGCAGTCGGTCCAGACACCCCGATCCGGGTCCTTGTGGCCACAGTTCACTGTAGTGGCAACCTTTGCATGGTGGTATGTCAGTAATTCTGTAAACAGGGGACACGCGGTCCACGGGGGGAAGTCCAGTCGATGGTGGAGTACGCATATGGATCGCGGTTCGGTTTTCGGGTTTTTCGAAGTCGCGTATGTAGCGCCAATTACACAAAGCCAAGTTAAGTTAAGTAGTTCCAACTCTTTGGGTCTCTGTGGCGAAATCTGTAAATCTGAGCAGGGGGCACAAAAAGAGAGGAAAATCGGCAGAGAAAAAAACCACCGCAAAATGCCATTTGACCAAGATGGGTTCGCGATGATAAAGCTACCGATTCGACCAGACGTGGGCGCCAAACAATTCAATGCAAAAGGGGCAATTAAAGCAGAGGGAATTAAGATGCTATACATAAAAAAAAACCTAGGCTATGAGATGATATTTTAAAAAATGTTTTAAATAAGTTAAAGGAACTAAACACTAAACATATTCTAAAAAATTTGAGTATTTTAAAGTGTTTTAAATTAAATATTTTCTGTTATTTCATAATTAAATTTTGTTAGTAAAATAAGAAGAAATAAAATATAACAAATGTTTTAACAAAAATAAGAACTCTTACACAATTTTAATAATATTTAATTTAGTAATAAGATGACTGAAACTTCGAAACCCATTTTTCCTCTCAGCGTATTGTGTTGCCCCTCGTTCCCCTCATCCTTTATAGACCAAGCCCATCGAATTAATTTGCGGTGCATTTTAGTTTACAACTTTGTAATTAATTTGCAAAAAGGGACAGACACAGAAGAAGGCCTTAAGCCGCCGATCGTTCGACATTTGTCTTTTTTTCTTCCTCCCAACTCCTTCAGCTCCAGCCCCAATTTTCCTTGTGACATTTGCGTGCTGCCTGTGATGTCTGGATTATGTGGTCTGGAATTGGATCTAGAGTCTAGAGAAGTCGGTACTTAATGGCACGCAGCATGGGGAAGCGATCGTTGGTGCATTGGCCACGGAAATCGTCTTGGGTTAGATCGAACAGGGCCACTCCTCCCAGATTCCTGTCCCTGGCATATTTAGCTTTTCCAGACGCCGAATCCGGATCATCGTAGCTGATCCACAGTCCATGTTCTCCGTTCTCATCGGCGGCACGGAAAGCGTAGCTGCCATAGCGTTTTGTGGGATCGATAACCCTTTTCACCGGGGCACTCGGTCCACGGGCATTGGAGTTACCCGGATTGGGCATCAGCTGGCAGATCTCCGCCCAGTTGAGAAGTCCCTCCTTCTTGCTCTGAGGTCCGGCTGGAGCGGGTCCTTCGGTGGCAGGAACCACCGGCATTCCAGAGTCGCCCGAATCCTTGGTCATCTTCCACGACCTGCCATAGGTGGCAATGCCGATGTTGATCTTATTCGCCGGCACTCTCTGGAGCAGCCAGTGTTCCATTTGGTAGTTCAAGTTGTAGTGACCCAGGCGATTCTGGCCGACGGCCTCGTAGGTGGGCGCTGAAAAGTCCGCCTCCTCGGGATTACGTTGCGGAGTCAGGAAGTCAAAGGTTCCCAGGTTAATGAAGTCCAAGCTGGGAGCAATTGAAGGGGCGTCGTAGTACCCTACAAGAAATATAAATAATAAATATTAAAAAATGTTCTATCTTTCTAATAATCCTATTAATTTTCATATTTTATTATTAGAAGTTTAAGAAATATTACGAGTAAATATTTAAATATTTACAATTCTCTAGTACTGTTACAAAAAATAAACATCCTTATATAGCGCAAGATACAGCTGTTTATAAAGTGATCAACAGCTGTGAATCAATTAAAAAAGTTTGTTTTATAGGGGCTTTCATCGGTACTCAATGACGTAAATAAAACGCATTACTGACTCATCAAACTACCAGTTAGTCGGCATAATTAAAATAATTGTAAATTATATCTGTACTTACAACTTGAGTTAACATTTGGCAAAACGGTGAGACTCAACAGCAGGTCGTTTTGCTTCAGGGCGGCATTCAGGTCCTTGATCAGGGCAGTCACCTGACCCTTGTGGGTTTCCGATTCGGTATCCACGATATAATCGCCGGTGAAGAACTTCTTGAAACTCTTCCACGCGGAACCAACATCACCGTGAACTTTGCGTGGCTTATTCCTTGGCAGTTGGAGGGCCAAGTCCAGGCCATCGAAGTTGTAACGCCTTACCAAATCGCGAGCGGATTCGATGAAACGCCTGTGACCTTGCTGTCCCGATTCCAAGAGCTTTATATACTGGTTCCCGTCATTTAGATCGGCATCTCCACCGACACTCAAGAGGAACTTGATGTGGGGATAGCGCTCCTTCAAACTGGACACTTGGGCCAGGTGACGCTGCTCGAGATCCAGTCGTTTGTTAATGCTCTGCATTTCGTAGTTATCGGCATTAACGCCAGCATAACCGTAGATCAAATGGGTGCAGAATTGCAGGGCCAGCTCCATATCGGGTATCGAAAACTGAGCCAGGCCTATATATGGGGGATTACACATTTGGAAAATTTTACAATTTAAATGGGAAAACTTACCCTGTCGCTGGAAGCCCTGAGAGTCATAGAAACAAACCAGATTAGAAGCGGCGCTCACTTGGAATCGAGCCAAAACAGCCAGACTCAGTGCCAAACTGAGCCACAGAGAGCCAGTCATCTTTGCAGAGAGGGAGAACGCGAGCGATAGATATAAACCCAGAGAGCTCTACGAAATCAAAATAAACACTCTGGACCTTGGGAGGTATTATTTTGTAACAGTCCGTCGCCGGCGAGATGCGAAACCAAACTGAATTCGAAATGACACTTAGCACTGGGAATTGGAATAAATATGGGCACCGGAGCTTTTCAGCGGAATCACCGCCGCCCGATTCCCCGTAACGAACCCAAAACCCCGGACCAACAATAGCTTACTATCAACGAAATTCAACGAAATTGTTTGTCTCAAGTGGCAGCTGACATCGGGGGTTCAATGAGATCACCTCTCGGCTCGGTAATTTACACAAAATAAAAAGAGGAACAGATAGTACTTGCTCGAGATAATACCCACCGACTCATAGTTTAAATAGGCTAAATCTACGGCTATTTATGGCAGCACCCACTGATAAGTCTGCAGTTTATAAGGTGTTGGCGAATTAGCAAGGTCGCTACTGCTCGTCGTTACTCATGCCCAAAAATATGTAAATATCTTGGTTGAAAACGATTAAGGGACTTTGGAGGAGCTTATAAGCGGATTATTAACGATGTGCTTTCAAGGTCCAATAAAGGTAGGCACTTAGCGAATAAGTGCAAAATAAATACAACTTACACACAAAAAAATTTGCTTGGTAAAATTGACCAACAAAGATAGTTACGTAACTATTAAAATAGTTACGTGTATTTTGTTTTTGCTTTGGGTTTGTGTCTTTGCTAATTGTGTGTATTTTGTTGTTGTGAAATGACAATTTACTTAGTAGAATTGACAATTTTGCTGGTTGGGGCCTGTTTGACAATTATTACAGTTGATTTTACCAAGTTTTTTTTTTGTGTGTACAAACAGAGGCGGTTAAGACGATTAATCAAAATAAAAAGCTTTAACTGTTGAAATTATTTAAAAATCCACAAAAATTGTTATGTAAATCTAATGGAACACCGAAAAATTTCTAACCAAAAATATATATGGCTGTATGTTTTTATAGCGATAAGAAATTTAATAAATAAATTCATTCCTTCAAGATAAATACTTTTCAAATCCAAGTTGGCATTATAAATCATTTATTTGAAGTGGTTTTTGATATAATATATTTTTTTTCATATTTATAGACGATATTTGACAGCCCTTAGGATGGGATACTTGTCACCCGTGCACTGCCCACGGAAATCATCGTAGCTCAGGTCGAACAGGGCCACGCCTCCCAGGTTCTTGGCACGGGCGTAAGCAGCCTTATTGGAGGCTGCATCCGGATCATCGTAGCTCACCCAAATACCATCGGTTATTTGGCCATCCACTGGGCGATAGGCAATGCCACCGAATCTCTTGGTGGGATCGGAAATTCTTCGCAGTGGCGAGTCGTTGCCCTTGAGGAATTGATTTTGGGGATTGGACAACTTGCCGCAGATCTCGGCGTAGCTCAGTATGCCGGGCTTCTGCGACTGGTGGCCCTCGGGAGCTACTCCCTTGGTCTCGGGCACCACTGGAACACCATCGAGTCCCGATCCGCTGGACAATTTCCAGGCATTGCCATAGGTGGCCACTCCCAAATTGAGCTTACTCGATGGGAATCCCTGTTTCAGCCAGTAGTCGACCTGGAAATCGGCATTGAGATGCACCAAACGATTCTTCGATGCATCCGGATGGTAGATAGGAGCAGTATAGTCCGCCTCCTCGGGATTACGAAGAGGAGTCAGGAAATCAAAGGTAGCCAGGTTCACGAAGTCCAACAAGCCATTCAGAGCGGGAATGTCAAAGTACCCTGAGGTTAAGATTATTTTAAAATTAATTTACATATTAAATAGGAATATTTCCCAAGTACTTACAAGTAGAGTTAACATTGGGCAGTACGGTCAAACTAAGCAGGAGTCCATCGGGTCGCAGGGAGTCCTTGACATCCCTAACAAGAGCGGTAAACTGTTCCTTGTGCAGGGCCGACTGGGGATCCACTATGAAATCTCCAGTGAACAGCTTCTTGATACTCTTCCAGGCCGAACCCAATTCACCGTGAACCTTCCTCGGTTTATTCTTGGGGAACTGATAGGCCAGATCCAGGCCATCAAAACCGTAGGTCTTCACCAGATCAAAGGCCGATCGGATGAAGCCAATTTGACGAACCTTCTCGCCCTCCAGCAGCTCGATGTATTTATTGGGATGATCAATGTCGATGTCACGATCACCGCCCAAACTCAGCAGAACCTTCAGATGGGGATACTTCCTCTTGAGGGCGGTCACTTCGGAGAACTGGTGCTTGTAGATATCCAGATTCTCGTTCAGACTGTACGCCTGCAGGTTTTCACCCCGAAGTCCCGCGTAGCCGTAGACCAAGTGGCTGCAGAATTGCAAAGCGATCTCCAGATCGGGATTGAGCAGCTTGCCCAGGCCTGGAAAATTCGCAGTTTACATTCAGAAGATGACATTATTCATTATATCCGAGATTCGGAGAGGGCATTGTTGTGGGACACTACTATTAATCGGGGAACCGAGATCTGACACCCAACACTCTCGCTCTCAGCGAGATCAACGGGTCTCCCCCTGACTACCGCCTCCTGGAGACTGATCCATTGTCTCGCCGACTTCAGTGGCTTAATTGAACGCCGACAGTGTGAGCCCAGCGAGCGGTTTATTGTTGATCGACTCGGGTGCGGGGCACAGTGGGGCGGGATGTGTAAAACTATATAATAATTTAATCAGCATCGATAAAAAAAAGGAAAGGAATATCTAAGCTATAGAAAAAATAAAAAAACACAAAGATATAAACTTTTTAAATAATAAAAGATCACTTTATGCATCTAATTATTTCATACAAGATAAGTCCGACTTTGTTTTTATAAATTCATTGAAATAATTAAAAATATCGCTCAGAAACTAAAATTCTAAGATTTTATCTAAAACCTTAAAAAAGTTAATAAATATTTAAATCTAAACATCTAACATTTAATCCTAGCAGTTAATAATATTTTTGGTATTATATCAATATTAAATATAAAGAAATATATTTTTACCCTTTCAGAACAATTTTTTCTTTTTGCTTTAATTAAGCTACTAATAAGTTAACTCTATGGTTTTTCTTCTTCACATTAAGTGTTGCATATTTTGATGGAATTATTATTTTTTGCCTCAGCTTTCCTTATTCTAAGAACACTGTGCGGCGCTGCTGCGTCACTTGGTGCTCTGCTTGCCACTTGTTTGGATCGCTGGTGGTGCCAAGTCAGCGTCCGCTGGCGAAGCAGTTGTCGTGCTGGACTCGCTGTGTGTTGAACGCTCTGGTTTTCATTTTCATTTCGAATGCGTGGGATCGGCTCTCTATCGACTTAACTCAAAATAATCCAATAATTGCCATATTTCGGGTGTTCATTCAATAATTACTTCTCATTATTGCTGTTTTGGTAAGTTAACTTTGCACTAATTAGCTTGTTAGCCAGAGAAGCTGGATATTTGAGAAGGTTTGTGCGGTGAAATCTCTGCGGGAGAGCCAGTCTCTCTGCGTTATTTTGAAGAAAAAACTCGTCTGATAAGCCACTGACCTCTATAGAACTAGCTTTGGCTCTCTTTATCCCTCTGTTTCTCTCGCCAAGCGATAAGCACTGCAAGCTGAATTAAATTAAATCCGAGTTTTGTTTTGAATCCCATATGATTATGTAACTTGATTAGCATGCTTTTGTTTTTATTCGTTTGTAAATTTGGCACATGCTAATCAAGAGTTGTGCTAGTTTTAAGCGGTTGTTTTGTAGTCTTTATTATTTGAATAGGCTTACTTGGACATAAAAAACTACAAAATACAACATTTAAATATATTTCCGTATTAATGTAGTTTTAATGGGTGTTTTTATAGGCTATAGTTAAAAAATAAAAACCGGCTTTTATGGCATGGAATTATTTACTATCTGGTTTGTTTATTTATTACTTCAAACTTTACTCAGTAAAAAAAATAGGTAAGGTAATAAATTAAACGTTTTATTAGTCTCACTTGGACTTCTCTACCTAAAGCTAGTGTATGTAAAAATCTTTTTTTGACAGCTAAAAACAATTGAAGCTGCGCTTTTCATTCATTCAAAAGTTAACTTCTGCTTAATTCCGATCTCCTCACTCACCTTCTCTTGTGTAACTTGAAGAGTCATAGAAGCAGACTAAATTGGAGGCGGCTTCTGTGCTTGCCGCAAAGAGACACGCGACAAATGTAAACCAGACCCAGGCCTTCATGGTGCCGGGGATATATACAAAGAACTCTGTAAACACAACCGCAGAGCAGATCAAATGAAATCGAACTGAGACTGAAATCGAAATGGAAACCGAAACCGAAACCAAAACTCAAACTCAAACAGACGACAAAAAGCTTAATGCGAGCTTTAAGAGGGGGATCTACTGAGATCGGAGACCAGAGTCGAGCTGAAACCGAGCTCATTGTTGGTTTACTTATTCCCGCAATGACTTAATTGTGTACACACAAGTTAATGACGATGATTGCGACGAGGCAGACGCAGGGTCAAGACTTCAAGACCTCCAAAGCAAAAAACAAAAAAAACAAGAAAATAATCTCAAAACATTGAAACGCGCTCGCTGATTAGAATTCAAAAACAGTATTTCAGATTGATTTCGCAAGTAAATATAGAACTCAATGTGGTGGAAATACCCGTTTACCACATGATATAGTTTATCACACGCACTTAATCAGTTTTGATTTGCAAATCGGAAGTGTTTGGTAGACGTACACTGAAAATTTGGGAATTTTTCTAAAATTTAAAGATAAAAGTAATGGTTTGGGGAGGTTTTTATGTTTTAGTATTTGTAAGATTTTAATATATTTAACAATGTTTCTCCTTACTAACCGATTTGTTAAGGTTTAGAATAGGTTTTGACCATTCGGTTTTAATTGTGTATTAGAGTATTAGTAGTAACTAACAACAGTAACACTAATCTATCCCATGAAATATTTGATCGATCGCACAATGGGGAATTTCTGGCCAGTGCAAAGCCCCCGAAAATCATCGTAACTTAAATCAAATACGGCAATTCCTCCGAGCCCTTTGCTTTTGACATATCCTGCTTTTACTCCAGCAAAATCAGGATCATCGAAGCTCAGCCAGACACCATAGTCTCCATTCTCATCCGCAGAACGAACGGCGTAGTTTCCGTATTTCTGGGTCGGATCCGTGACCTTGCGAAGGGGCGCATTTTCTCCTTGAAATGGGGTAGATGCATTGTGCCACAACTTGGCGCAAATCTCTGGCCAACTTAGCAAACCTTCGGCACTTGAGATTTGAACACCTCCTGGCGCTACTCCACACGTCTCGCGGACAATTGGAAATCCACTCCTATCAGAATTCTGCGTCATTTTCCAGGCCCTTCCATAACTGGCTATCCCCAGGTTTAACTTCTGGGCGGGACAATGGTTTTGCAGCCAGTAATTAATCTGGAAGTCAACATTTAAATGAGGCAAACGAATCTGTTGGTCCTGGAAGAAAATGGGTGCGGTAAAGTCGGCCTCCTCGGGATTTCGCAGGGGAGTGAGGAAGTCGAAGGCAGCTAGGTTTATATAATCGAACTGCGGATGCAGTTTTGGGACATCAAAGTACCCTGAAATAGTTTAGGTAATCATGGTTAATTAAAAACTTTTAAAGACATATTTAATCCTCTACAAAAAGCTGAACTGAAATTGTATTGGGAAAAACTTATACTTGAAATTGAAAAATTTCCCCATATTATCACATTTGAATTATACTTACAAGTGGAATTTACATTGGGCAGCACAGTCAAAGAAAGCATTAGATTGGCAGAACGGAACGCGTTCTTAATATTTCCCACGAGATCGGTGAACTGTGACTTGTGCTGTTCTGCGAGGGGATCAACTATGAAGTCGCCAGTAAAGAGTTTCCTGAATGACATCCAAAAGGTGCCAAATGATCCGTGGAATTCCCTGGGTTTATTGCGGGGAAACTGAAAGGCGAGATCCAAGCCATCGAATCCATTTCTTTTTAGCATTATCATACTGCTATCTATGAAACTTTGCTGCTCCGTGCGATTCGCCTCCAAGAGTTCTAAATACTTATTGGGATGAGCCTCATCCACATCGCGATCTCCGCCCACACTAAGCAAAATCTTCATTTGGGGATACTTCTGGCGCAGATTCGTGATGTCCTTGTAATAGAACATGTCCAGATCTACATTCAAACTGAACAGCTCGTGGGTTCCGGCCTTCAAACCTGCGTATCCGTAGACCAAGTGGGTGCAGAATTGCAGGGCCAAGTCCAGTTCGGTCGTACGCATTCTGGCCAGACCTTGTCGCGAATACGAGGACGAGTCGTAGTAACAGATCAGATTGCTCGCTGCAAGGGCCAAACTTGACACACTAAGCACGCTCAATATATAAAATAAATTGAATCTCATCTTTCCGTAGAGAACACGTCCTGACTTTACGTCTGATAATTAGCAACTAAAAACTCATTCAAAAGCTCCATAGCTCAGCTGCTGAATATCGCTTATCTCATTGTTCTTTAGATGTCAATTGTCGATTTTCTTGTATAGGTTTTTACCAATTGTTATACATTTTGTAATTCCAGAAACCAGCTATAAATAAAAGTTTCTAAAAATCTTGAATTTATTTTAAAATTTTGCATTTATTATTATTATAACAATAAAATACACTATCCCATAAAATATTTGATTGATCGCACAATGGGGAATTTTTGCCCAGTGCAAAGTCCTCGGAAATCGTCGTAGCTTAAATCGAATACGGCGATTCCTCCGAGTCCTTTGCTCTTGGCATATCCTGCTTTTATTCCGGCAAAATCAGGATCATCGAAGCTCAGCCAGACACCGTAGTCTCCATTCTCATCCGCCGGACGAAGGGCGTAGTTTCCATATTTTTGGTTCAGATCTGTGACCTTGCGGAGGGGCGCATTTTCTCCTCGATACGGGGCAGATGCATTCTGCGACAACTTGGCACAAATCTCGGGCCAACTTAGTAAGCCATCGGCACTTGCGATTTGAAGACCTCCTGGCGCAGCTCCGCACGTCTCGTGGACAATTGGAAGTCCACTCAGCTCAGAATTCTTCGTCAATTTCCAGGCCCTGCCATAACTGGCGATACCCAGGTTCAACTTCTGGGCGGGACAATGGTTTTGCAGCCAGTAATTAATCTGGAAGTCAACATTTAAATGAGGCAAACGATTCTGTTCATCCTGGAAGAAAATGGGAGCAGTGAAGTCGGCCTCCTCGGGATTTCGTAGGGGTGTGTGGAAGTCGAAGGCAGCTAGGTTGATATAATCGAACTGCGGATGCAGTTTGGGGACATCAAAGTACCCTGAAAATAGTTTAAGTAAATCATGGTTAGTTAAAAACTTGTAAAAATAATTATTCCCCTACCAAAAAATTATATGAAAAGAAGCTATATTTAAAATTTTTAAAAATTATTAATTTCATAATTTATTTGATTTATACTTACAAGTTGAATTTACATTGGGCAGCACCGTCAAAGAAAGCATTAGATTGGCAGAACGGAACGCGTTCTTAATATTCCCCACGAGTTCGGTGAACTGTGACTTGTGCTGTTCCGCCAGGGGATCCACTATAAAGTCGCCAGTAAAGAGTTTCTTGAATGATTTCCAATAGGTTCCAATGGATCCGTGAACTTTTCTGGGCTTATTGCGGGGCAATTGAAAGGCGAGATCCAAGCCATCGAATCCATTTCGCTTTAGCACAATCATGCTGCTATCTATGAAATTTTGCTGCTCCGTACGATTCGCCTCCAAGAGCTCTATATATTTATTGGGATGAGCCTCATCCACATCGCGATCTCCGCCCACACTGAGGAAAATCTTCAGTTGGGGATACTTCTGGCGCAGATCCGTGATGTCCTTGTAGTAGAACATGTCCAGGTCGACATTCAAACTGAAGAGCTCGTGGGTTCCGGCCTTCAGACCCGCGTATCCATAGACCAAGTGGGTGCAGAATTGCAGGGCCAAGTCCAGTTCGGTCGTACGCATTTTGGCCAGACCTTGTCGCGAATACGAGGACGAGTCATAGTAACAGATCAGATTGCTCGCAGCATGGGCCAAACTTGACACACTAAGCAAGCTTAGTATATAAAATATATTAGATCTCATCTTTTCGTAGAGAACACGTCCTGACTTTACGCCTGATAATTAGCAACTGAAATCTCATTCAAAAGCTCCATAGCTCAGCTGCTGAATTTTGCTTATCTCACTGTTCTGTCGATGATGCCACTATCAGGTTTTCAGGCATTACGTAGTTCCTGCCAATGTTTTCCGAGTTTATTGCGTTTGTTTGTCAGTTAAGATTGTTTACGAATCGTCATGACTCAACTTTCGGGGGTATTTTTTACGAAAATATATTTCACGTTGTCCGTGAGTGTCTGGGACTTATAGTAATGGCCTTAAAATATATGCGAGACATACATAGGTTATAATAATTATTTTCAATAAATAAACTGCTAAGAGTCAAGCATCAGAAAACTGTAATAATACATTTAAATATTTAAACAACTTTTAAAAACCATTTTTATTTATTAATTAAACACTAGACCGCTTTTAGAATGTACCCAATTTGCTCCCATAAGACTATCTATAAATGGATTCACAATTAGGAACTTAATATCTTTGATACCCGTAGCTCTTAATGCTTTGCAGTTTTTCGTGACTTACTTCTATTTGCGCCTCATAATCATCGTCGTCATTAGGCGGTTGATGAAGGTGAAAGACTTTTATTAGCTGACCCAGAGCCGTAGGATCCGTAACTATAAGACCCGACTCTCGAATGGAGGACAACCTGCTGGGCTGCCGAATCTTCAGCAGCTGTTTTGGGTCCGCGGGGAGGCACTTAAATCAGGAATCAATTGAAGCATTAAATACCCCAAACAAAGCGGCGAAAGATGTTCCTTGAGCCAAAGTCGAAATGGGACAGGACGGCTAATGACAACAGTCACAACAATGCGATGGGGATGGATCCGATACGATCCGAACCGAGGCAAAGTACCCTGTGATGTACTCTGTCGTATGTGACACAACCAATTAGACAAAAGGACGTGGCGGGTCCTTGCAGAAGAATGCGAAATAATCCTCACACGCTGCTTAGCGTTGACAATGAAAATCAGGAAAACCGGGGGAGAACAGGGGGCGGGGCTGAAAGGCGTGTTCGTGTTGAGAGGCGGCATTATCCTTGAATGTCCTCGAATGTGCGAGTTTTATCCGCAGCCATATCTGTATCTGTGTCTCGCATTGTTGTTTGATTTATATCGGAGGCCCGCTCATAATCATCTCATTGTTTGCCCCATTCCTCTATATCTTATATATCATTGTGCCCCAGATTAAACCAACCAAACCATTTGTGACCTTTGCCCATGTCCACTGTCTATTAGCCACAAATCCCCGTTCCCATCTACAAACTATTTGCCTTCGTCTTTTTGGGTCGTTTTGTGTGCTCATTTAGGCCAGTTTCGATATCATCAATCAGTCAATCACTGCTGGGCAAATAGAAATCAATGCCAAATAGCTTAATGTGTGAATTAATGTGCTATATGGGCATACTGTATTTCATTTATGAGCTTCAGTGTTTATCTTTCATTTTAGTATTTAATAAAACTTTATTAGTTTGGATTTATTTTGAGTAAATACTGTAAAATAAGAATAACTAAATACATAATTTTATATATTTTTATATTTTTTGACTTATGAATTATTTAATAAGTTATAATATAAAAACATATATATTTTGTTTATGTTTGGCTTCAAAGACTTTATAAAATTTTGATAAAATGCTTTCAAAAATTTTGTTAATTTTTTCAGCCTTAATAAATACAATACAATAATATGCAATGTTTAAGTCCTTTGAAACCCCTTCGTAAATAATCGAAAGCACTTCTATAATACCCATCAAGTTTTTATTTACTTTCCTCCCGAGGAAAACTTGAAATTGGTTTCCATTATGGGCATTCTTTGGATCCCAACTTGGCTACAATTAAGTCCAATAATAATTTAAACAAATACCTTTGCCACCCCCGGGCTTTCTTTCACCTTCAGCCTCTCATTATCTCTGGCAGCAGGTGCAGAAAACCGCGAAACATTTGCCTCATTTCATATTTCTAATTAGACAGCCGACGCTTTTCCAAAGTTTTTTGTAACCGGGCAGACAATGCAATGCCCGGAAGTACAGAGCAAAATTCAATTTTCACAAAACAATTGCCATTAGGCGAAGGTTTTTCTTGGCCACCCAGGAAGGAAATACGAAATACGAGTGCTCTGCCCAATTGATGTGCCTAATCAGTTTATCTAAGGCATTTTTTTGGGGGGTTGCTGGCCAGCAGCAAATTCATCATTGTCAAATGTGCGGCTTGACATTTTCCAAAAAGGGGGCTTGGAAAAAATGTAAACTTTTTTGAGGCAACTTTTGGCTTTTTTTTTGCGTTTTGAGGGTTGTTTTTGGCGGGCAATATAATTAGAAATTCATAATGAATTTTATTTGCTTTGGCCACAGAGCGAAGCAAAAAAAAGCGGAGAACGAAAACAACACGAGGCAACGTCGCCTTGTCCAAATGAATTTTTTTGGGTAATATTGACGCGCATTTTTGTGCAAATAAAATTAAAGCGCCCCCATGCCATCCGTCGCCCTTATGAAGCCACCGCATAAACAGGCCGAGGCATATCAAATTATCAGTCAAGGGCTGGGCAGTAGTCAGTCATTCAGTCAGTCCATCAGTCGCAAATTCTGGGTCGAGCCTTGGATTTTCACATTTTTTCGGGGGAGGCATTTTGGTCTGGGGGATTTGGGGGTGTTAATGCGGCGTGCAGGTATCAAAGCGACGTTTGAGAAATGAAATTAAAAATTCTTGTTGATTTTAGCGAAAAAAGAAATGGATAAAGCGAAAAAAAGCCAAAGGAACAAAGCTAATTTAATAGGCGAATATTATATACACTTCCGGAAGATGTAAGAATCAGAATCGAAAATATTACAATTAGACCCGTTTTTTGTCGTACCTTTTTAAATTTAAAGTAGAGACTAGAGCCTATTTCTTGTGTACATATTAAATTTAAAGTAGGCTGATGTAAGAATCAGAATCGAAAATATTACAATTAGACCCGTTTTTTGTCGTACCTTTTTAAATTTAAAGTAGAGACTAGAGCCTTTTTCTTGTGTACATCTTAAATTTAAAGTAGGCTCTAAGGTAGGTAGGCTGAGAAAACGGCCCAAAAACCCTAAATATGTATAAGAATTTTGAGTTTAAAGCAACTTTAAATTTAATTTTTTGCAATTATTTTCACAAATGTAGTATTTTAAAGAAAATCTTCAACATAGTCACAAAACCCGATATTCATTGCTGTCGGAAAGTGAAGCCAAAGAATAATATAGCTCGCCTCGAATTCTAATTTTTTAATGAGTCAAAGAGCGCTTCTTGGGCTATCCATGTCCAAGGAGGGGGGCTTTGAGGTTCATTCCATGGAGTCAGTCGGTCCTAAAATACCCCTCACTATTCCCTGAACTGTCATTCATTAGGTAAAGACATTTTGTTGCTGTCTTCATTAGAGCCTGGGTCTCTCGTTCTCAAAGTAGGTTTGGAATTTATCTAGCTTTCAGCTAGGGTTTCCTGCTTGTTGCCGGGTCCGGAAATTGCTTTGGTTTTTGCGGATGACTACTTGGCGCCACATGTTGTCAGCAATACAGAAAAATACGAAAAAAAAACCGAACAGGACCTTGAAGGACTTCTCTTTGGCAGCAGAATGACCTTCGGTGTGTTGCTCATATTCATTATAAGCCCAAATAACTGTTGTCGTTGAGTGGCAAGTGTCAAAATACCATGATGGGCCCAAAAGGATTGTTACCATCTCCTCGATGGCGCCTTCTGGTTTTCTGCTCAATTTGTTCTGGCGTCGATTCGGCCAACTCCCCCCCTTCTCCTGATTTTCCACTCCTTTTTGTGGGCTCTCGAGTTACCAGTTGCAGCTAACTGACTGCTTATTGGCCTGGCTTTTGGCTCGCCACTTGGCCCGGCTCATGTGTGATTTACCGGGGCTCCGGTGCTCAAGTGTCAGCAGAAGCTGAAGGGAAACCTTAGTGGCGACTCTCGACTGAAGACTGGCGACTGGCGACAGTTGGCCCTGGCTCAGCATTAAGCCTCATTTCTGGCCAATTTTGCCCCACACCTTCCGATAACTGTTGCCAGTAAATCAATATCGCCGCTTTGTGGTCAATCACAATGCGATTTTTTTGTAGTCGGACAGTTAAGGATATCAGTTGGTGAGTTGGTAGGATATTATAGGTACAATTTATGGTTGGTTACCAAAATATATTTTTAGAGCTAATCGATTAAATATTTATATTCTAATTGTTCCAGGTTTTTATCTTTTTGCAGTGTATAGTCATTAATTAATTTTCTGATATAAATGAAACGCCTTTTTAAACAAAAGAAAGTCGTTGCGGCATTAATTCATTGAAAAATATAATAAAAATCGAGTGACAACAACAATGTCATAAATAATAATTAATGCCACTTAATTCATACTACCAACAACACTAGAACGGAGAACAGCGAAAAAAGTTAATATAAATAAAAATATTTAAAGCAGAGCAGAAATCTCATCTGAGAGAGAGAAAGCAGAGACAGAGACAGTCATAAAAATGGTTTATAAGTCCATAAAAAGCAATTGTTTGCATTGTCCGTAATTGCATTAAAAAACACAGAGAGCCATGTGGACACTCCAATAAATATTGATGGGGAATTGGTTAACAAAAAAAAAAGAGAAAAACTGAAAATCTGAAATCGAAGCGTATGCATTTTTAATTTCGGTCTTAACGTGGCATATAGAATGTAATTAAAACAGAATCTGATTAAATAAAAACAAATTAAGTGGTTTGTAAATAAATTGAAAAGCAAGTGGGTAAGCAAAAAAAAAGAAAGTAAATAAATTTGCGGCTTTTGTTATTGTTACATAAAATGCATTTGCCATTTTTTATTGCCTTTGATCACAAACAATACATTAATAACATAAACCAACCGCTAATGATATAAAACGAAGCGCTCTACTAAATTTTATTCGTTATACAGAAGGCCTGTCTGCGTTTCCAATCGTTTTAGAGAACTTTTACTTAAGGCTAAAGTTAAAATAATATTGTGACAGGACCCATCTTTCAAGTCTG